TTTTTATCTAGGATATAATTAATTACATGCTGATTTATTTTTTATTAATCCCCTGATCCATATGTTAATAAGCGGAACTTCGTTTCCACAAATCCCCAATAGATCAGGATATTATTATTACAAATAACGATAAGATTCCCTTAAGTATTAATTAATATACACAAAAAAAAATTAAATGTAATTTATTTCATATGTAATTTTGTAATTAAATAAAAAAAAACATACGGTTAATCAATCCGCGTATTTTCTTTTTTTTTTCGTACATATATATGTACGTACGTACGTACATATCAGGTATATCTGATATCTGATATATTATCTGTTATGTACTTACGTACGATCAGTGTTGAAATTCAGTACAAACATTTTGTGCAAGAAAATTTTTTTATACAGGATGTTATTTTATTTTTTTGTGCAATTGTTAATTTTTGTGAAAAAAACAATACATGCACAACGAATTTTCAACACTGCTTACGATCTCGCCTGTGTTACTTATCGTTATCATTTATTATTACATGAAGTATACTTTTGCAAAAGATTTAAACAATACTGCTGTACTGCCGTAACGCAGGTTACATCGTTACATCATTATGTCATCACGTGAACTATCAAAATTCCAGTATTCTGTGTTACCATTACTTTTGAGATTTTAATATCGCATTTCTTTTCACGTTTAAATTAATAATAAAAAAAAATGTCTGAAACAGAAGATTTTGGAACCTCCTTTGAATTAACAGAAAATGCCGTTTCTCCTCGTGGCAATCAACTTAAATTTCAACAATCTGATGTATCAAATTCACTCGGAGCAACTCAGTTAAGAATTAAGAAACCACCGTATCCTCTAATAATTCCTAGTACTCAACCCACTGGAAGTCGAATAAAGTTGAATGCTCCCTCGCGAACTACAAAAACCGCCCAAAAGCTAGTTTTACTTCCTGAGGAAACTGAGGTACCACCTGGTGAACTTTCTGACTATGCCGAAACCCCTGTCACTCCCTCAGGTCCACATTTACCGGTTAGTTTTTATGATTCTACCGATGCTGAGAGAATGCCCAAGGAAAGTAGAGAGATCAATAAATATCCAAGGTAACTATATATATATATATATGTTTGATAACTACAAACAATTATATTTAATAAATTGTACTTCATCAAATTCTTCTAAATTAATCATCTAATTAAAGGGCAACTGCTTATTGTACGGCTGAAGGTTATTATCTTAAGAAATTGTTGAATTTTTTGAGTGATGAACACAATGTTCAACCAATGTACCTTATCGATTATTATGGTTATATATTTATTTATTTATTATTATCTGAATTTATTGATTATTTAAAATTATCTATTATTAATATTTGATAGGTTGTATGATGAATGTTTATATGCTCCTTACCATTTTCCATTATTGAGAGGTAGAAATACAAAGATTTCTTCTTCCACTGCAATACAATCGCCTAATGGTCGTTCATTTATGGAGAGCCAGATAGAAAATTATGAAAATAATGATGATAATTCTTATTTTGTAATGTCTGAAAATGAAGATAGTTATGATAATGTTGGAATAAGTGAATCTTTATCAAAACCTATTCAGAATACTCTTTCAAATATTGGTGAAGTTTTCTTTTTTGATTATGGTGTAGTTGTATTTTGGAATATGACTGAAGATCAAGAAAAATTGATTCTTGATGATCTTGCTATGTCAAAAATATCGGTTCGTTCATTAAAAGCTGAAGATATTGAGTGTGAGACCTTTCATTTTCAATATGACCTTACTTCCACTAGACAACCTAGAATTTTCAATGATATGATTACTTTGAAGTCTGATAATCATATGATTAAATTAACTATCAGTCATGCCATGAGTCAGAGTACAAAATTAACTTTTTATGAATGGCAAATGGAAAGTACAATCGAAAGAACAAAGCATATACCAAAAATGTTGGCTCAAACTGGGCATTTAAATTTGTAAGTAATTCGTAAATAATTTGTAAGTTATTAAAATTTGATCTGATTTATTGCCAAATTTTCTGTTTTTCCAGGAATCGAACTCAAATTACAAAATTAAGCGGTGAAATGTTTAAGTTACGAATGAATGTTAATCTAGTATCTAATGTTTTAGGTAAGTTCGATTGTTTTTTAAGTGTTTATTATACAAGTACATATTTCATACATTATTTCTTTATAGATACACCTGAAATATTCTGGTCTGAGCCGTCTTTGGAACCACTATATAGCGCCATTAGAGGTAATTCAATATTATATTATGATTCTAAAAAAAAAAACTTATTATTGAGGGTTTTACTAATGTTATTCGATTCTTAGCATATCTTGAAATTTCTCAACGTGCCAACCTTCTTAATGATCGTTGTAAAGTTATTAGCGATTTGTTAGATATGTTACGTGAAGATGTTGGTAATTATAACATGACACGCATTACGTGGATCATAATCTGGTTGATCGTTGTGGCAGTTTTTGTAGCTATTGTAAGTACTTGTTTTAGTTCTTGGTAGTTCTTGATAATGTTCTGATTTCGAAAATTCTTGCCTTATTAGGGTGAAATCGCCGTGAAAGCTTTATATTTCAAGATGTACTATTAAGCAACAATATTTCAAGTGGATTTTATAATATAGAATTATCGCATGTGAACATTGTGAACATTGTTAACCTTTAACAATAATAATTTTTGGGGTATTTTTTAATGTGGATAATAATTCCTCAAAATGTATATATTTTTTGTAAAATTCAAAATGTTAATATCTGTATTATTTAAACTTATTGAAAAAGTGATTTTTCTAGGACATTAAGGACGGATGAATTTATTCTGTTGGGTATGATCTTCAAGATGAATCAATATAAATCAATATAATGTATTCATTCATCAACATTTCTAATAAAGAGTCTTTTGTAAAATTCATTTCAGTTAACCGTATGCATGTATGTTTATTGCACATTATAACAATCAACAAAGATTTCAAAGATTTGAATATTTTAGAAAATCTCAGATCACGTTACGTTACGCTAGGTGGCTTCGATAATATCGATGTAATCTTTACCTAAAATGAATATATCTGTAGAAGTGACCTAGTTTGAATTTTGTCCGATACTAGTCTGAAAGCAGAAAAGTGAAAATTGTGTTATCGTTACCTGTTCTTCGTTTGAGCACGGAACAATATTCTTATCATATCGTAGTACCGATTTGATTATCTATTATCGTTATTGGATATACTTATCAGGAAAACTGCGCCAAACATTTAATTGTAATAATCTTGTTTGAATGTAGGTTTCACGGGTCAGTTGATCGTACCCATGTCAGATATGTATTTGTTTTTTTCCCCTTTTTAGCTTTAAATGGTGAATTTTCAAAAAAAAAAAAAACCTCCCATTTGATACGTAAAACGGTAAAGTAATCTAAATTTACTTATTTGAGTCCCCTATAGATTAATATGATCTTGATGCATTAACGTTAGTACAGGGATGATTAGTAATGCTTATAATCATTTTAAATATGATATATACGAATACCCGATTCATTAGTAAGTTTTTTTTTTTATTTTATATCGGATAATTGACTTTTATATGGTTACGTATAATGATAATGTTAGCTCGAATTCTTAAAACTTGGTAGGCATGATGATCAATGTTTGTCATTTAAATGAATTTCAACACGTATTGGCCTGATAAAATGCAAACAATACATTTGTGCCTTTATGTTATGAATTACAAAAATTATTACTTATTTTTGATGATTGCTGATTTGGATAACTAAAGATCATTTTAATTATCTCTTGTGTACGTTGTACTTAACTTCCCTACATGTCAAGAACCTATCATTTTGTTTACGACAATATTAACATCTTTTAGAGGTTCCAGGGTTTTAAATCAATTATGTATTTTATTATGTTATTGAATGAATTTATTGTTATTGGTTTTTTTTTTTTTTTTTTAATATTGTAGTTGGACCTTTCGGACCTTAGGCATTCACTCTGGACTTAATGTTCGTTGTTATACCAAAATTACGTTTATATTTTCCGACTAATTGATGGTCTCTCCGAACACGGTTATTTTTTTAGAATAAATGACATAAATTTCCTTCCTGGAATTATCACTGGTTCTCATCGGCTTGTGCAATACATATTGATCCTTTTTGCGCAAATTCTTGTTTTTTTTATGTAATATATATACGGTCAGCCGTGAAACATGTCCTATATTTTGATAGGCTCAAGAGTTTACCTTTAACATTTTGTCCAATCCGGAACTTTACCCCCAAGAAAGTACCTCACAAGACCACAAACAGAAAACCCAAAGCTGTCTGTCAACGAACCCTGGTTTTATCGGTCACTCCCCGTTCAGTTACCACACCGCGCTCTTTTTTCTTCTCGGGCTTCAGAAGCCCAAAGTTGTATACCTAAACGTATACATCCTTCTTCATTTTTTTTCTTTAAACTCATAAAATTAAAAGGACACTTAGCACTTAATAGATTTTTTTTTTTTATTCCTAGCGTCAGTAGCTTATAAACTCTCTTTTCATACTCAACCTTCATCATCAATAATTTTGGTATACAATACATTACAAATTCCAGCATTAATGGCGGCAACAATCCACTTAACCACACAACAGCAAAATTCTACACATCCTCAGCATGTCCAACTGCAGTCTGCAAGAGGTCGTCCAGTTTCTACTCCTGTTCCAATGAATTATCCTCGATATCCTGAAATACCTCACCCTCCACCACAAGTAACTCAAAGCTCCGCACGAAGGGGCAATATGTTTGGCCCATATCTACTGTTACAAACTTTGGGCGAAGGTGAATTCGGCAAAGTTAAACTTGGTATGCACGTGGACACTGGCGAAGAGGTAAGATCTTTGCAATTGTACTATAAATTACTATAATTAATCCCCTTTTAATTTGATCTACTTGGCTTTCACTTAAAGTTTTTTTTTTTTAACCTACCATAAGTGCTAATCGTATCACTTTTCAAAATTTTAAATTTATAAATATTTAAGGTTGCAATCAAACTCATACGTAAAGAATCGGTGGATACCCCATCTAGGCTTACAAAAATTGAAAGAGAAATAGGAGTATTACGGGTATAAACAAAATTTTTAACTCCATTTTTATCAATACTTAATATTATATCATTTCTAAATTATTTCGATACGTCGATAGAGTGTAATGCATCCGAATATTGTAAAATTATATGACGTGTTCGAAGCAGATCGGTATATTGGCATTATCATGGAATACGCCTCAGGTAATTGCAATGTGATTTATATTACATATATATATTTATAGCGTAAACGAATTATTAATAATAATTGTTACATATATATTATATATAATATTTTATAGGTGGTGAATTATTTGATCATATATTAGCACATCGATACCTCAAAGAACGAGATGCTTGTCGGCTGTTTGCACAACTCATTAGTGGGGTGAATTATTTACATCAAAAAAATATCGTACATCGAGATCTTAAACTAGTATGTTATGTCATATTCAATATTTCATTTAATATCAACTATTATTAAATATATTAAATAATACAATTACTTTTTTTTTTTTTAAAAAGGAAAATCTCTTACTAGATCGTAATAGAAATATTATAATTACCGATTTTGGATTTGCAAACCAATTCAATGGTGCTCATGACGATTTAATGGCTACATCTTGTGGTAGTCCTTGTTACGCTGCACCAGAATTGGTAATCAGCGAAGGATTATATGTTGGAAGTGCAGTAGATATCTGGAGTTGTGGTGTTATTCTAGTATGTAATTTATACAATTTTATTCGATTAGTGTTCATCTTTTATTCAATTTTAAATATTTGATTTATTTATTTGACAATAGTACGCCATGTTATCAGGATATCTTCCTTTCGATGATGACCCTTCAAACCCCGATGGTGATAATATCAACTTATTGTACAAATACATTATTAATACTCCGTTGGTATTTCCTGAATATGTAAGCCCTGATGCTAGAGATTTACTTAGAAAAATGCTTGTCCCTGACCCGGCAAAGAGATGTGATATGAAGACTATAATGTCTCACAGGTAAATTTGTTTTGTTCTATTTTATTTGATTTAATTTTTGTCTTACTAATTATTTTCATCATGGCTCAATCAGATGGTTGATGCCATATGCAACACTATTTGAATATTCCATCCAAGAATTGGAGGTGATTTTTTTATCTTAAAACAATTAATTAAAATACCAATCAAGCTTTATCTCTTGTGTATTCACATTTATATATATATATATTTCTTTTTATACAGGAGGCTGCAACTCAGATGAATTCATTAGCATCACAAGATGCGTATATCCCATCCGGAGTTTCAATGTCAAACAATTTCTTAAGCGCTGATTATGTTGTGGAACAACCTAGTGATGCTTCCGGTAATATTACCGTTAAACGTCATACCATCCAAGTAGAATATGAATATCCTGATAATAATACTGAAGGATACGTCGACTATCCTGATGAAGATTTCCAATTTGTTGATGGAACCCGTCTTGGCTCGACTATTGTACCTGTAGCAACATCAGATATGATATTAGCTGAAGAACAGGAAGAGATATTAGCAAATGATTATGATACTTCCAAAAATGATGCATCACAAAATCTTTTGACAGCTACTCCATATTCTAAATCTGAGAAACATTTTAGTATAACATCAACTGGATCTGGTAATTCAGATAAAAGCAGTGGACCAGGAAGTACTCCACCAGGAACTCCATCAACAACAACAACAAGGAGTTCTGCAAATGCTGGAAATGGCTTGTTCACTTTGTTTGAAAGTGATTCCAATAATATAAATAAATTCAAAGATAAAACTCCACAAATTAATAATGTAAATAGTAATCTTGTTCTGCCACCTCCAAATGACAATTTCCAACCAGATTTACAAAAGAGCTCATCTCAAACACCCAAAAAGAGGGATGCACCACGCACTAGGCCTGTAACTGTACATGGTCCTCCATCGGGGTCTCAAGACTTTTTATCAATGGTACCAGGGTATAAATCAACTTCTACAAATACATCTTTGAGTGTCACGGCTTCATCACAACATAATAATGATAATTCACTACAACCAAAACTTCCTCCTTCAACTACACCGCCTACTATGCCTTTACCTGCTATTCCGGATCGTCAGGATTCATTATCACCTGTAAACCAAAAGAGACACAAAAAAGCTTCTTCATCTGAAAGAGTATCTGAAAGAGTTAATCAATATACAGGAAAAAATAAATTACCAATAGAAAATGATTCTTCGATTACAAATAAAATTAACAATTCTGGTTCAATCAAAGAATCGAATTCAATTAATTCAAAAACACAACCCTCACAATCAACACAAGTATCACCACCACCGCTACCACCATCACAAAATATTGATCTACATTCTGATACTGCTTCAGATTCAACTAGTCTTATGGATGATGGTAGTGATTCTAGGAGTAAGATAGGTGGCAAAAGGAAAGCTTTGAGTCTTATGGTTGAAACATTTAAAGGACCGAATAGTCATTCTGCGCATAGCGTTGTTTCAACCAATAATACATCAACAAAAGATAAGAGAAAAACTCTTGGTAGTGGTATTTCTTCTAGTAGTTCGAGCGCTGCTAAGAAAGTTATGGATTGGTTTAGAAGAAAATCTTTGGGTAAGCTGTGGCTTTTTTTCACACGTGTAAAAACCCATAAAAGATTTCTATAAATTATTATAAGTTCTAATAATTTTTATTTATTTATTTTTTCAACAGCAAAGGATCCTACAACTGCGCCGCTTATTCCTGAAGGAACGACAAATGGCGGCGTTTCCGCCAATCGTGTCAAGAGCAAAAAGAGACAAAAAAATAATCCCGCATTGGTTGTCACACAACCTAATAGTAGTACTAATTCTCCTTCGTCATCACGCCAATCCACAATGACTTCAGTTTCTAATGTGGACTCTAAACTTCGTATACATCATGGTGTTGTCGATAATCTAGCCTTGACTGAACGACCTCCATATGAAATTTTCATAATGATTAAACAAGCCCTAGTTAGTATGGGTATAGAAATAAAACGCGAAGGAGAATTCAAAGTTAGATGCGTGAGGCGCAAGAGAAAGGTTGATAACAAATCTTCTGCTAAAGATAAGTCTCTAAAAACCAAGGACACTTTAACATCGGAAGCTTCTGAAAACGTATTAGATATTGAAAAGAAACGCAGAAAATATTCTAGTGGACCATTTAAAACATTGCTGCGTCGTACAAGTTCAAACAACACCAGTCAACTATTATCTACATCATTATCAACCAACCATAAATCAAATAGATCAGACGAGTCGGCACCAACTAGTCCGACAATAGGTCCAATTATGACACTTACGGGTCCAACAGATGGTCCTACCTCAACCTTAGTTCCAGAAGTATTATATGGTGATCCAACGACAGATTCAGGTGATGAAATAAGATTTGTGGTAGAATTATGTCGCATTAAGAATCTTCCCGGATTATACATTGTGGATATCAAAAGAATGAAGGGTAATCTTTGGGCATACAAATTTTTGTATCATACGCTTCTCGATAAATTGGACTTAAAAGGCAAAGGAGGCTATTTAACTATCGGAACAAGTGGTGGAATAATTCCATGATGAAAATTACCAATGTAGTTTAAACGTAAAAATATTAAAGCTTTTTTGTCTTTGGCTATTTCTAATTTTCGTTATCAATAATATGTTATTGGATTTAATATAGTATATTAAAAAAATATTTTCTACTATTCCAGATTGCATATTCTTCATTTTTTTCTCCAGTGTTTATGGACAGTTTTTTAATCATTATTCTATTTAATATTACTCTGGATTTTTTTTTTTTTCTTTAATTCTTCTACTATAGGTGATTAGAAACCTGACTTAAATTTTGGAATCTTTTTTTTTTACTTACAGCATTTAGCTTTACAGTTTTTTTTTCTTTTTTTTTTTTTTTTTTCTTTTAATATTCGAATTTTTTTCTTTATCTTACAGTTCATTATATACATAAAAATTGTTTTAACAACTTTACAGAAATTTTGAAAAAAAATTTTGGAACTTTATTATATAAATACTATCAATATAAAAAATGAAAAAAATAATTTGCTAGTGTTTAATACATATTGATTATTTCATTTAAACATTGATATATATTATTAAAATAAATAAATAAATAAATAATACAGTAATATTAATGAAAATACTGTACAAAGTATTATTTAATTTTTATTTGTAATATTTGTAAACTATTTGATACTGCTTTATTTACATTTTTTAAACATCTTTTACATGTAATTTTTTTTAAAAAAATGCACTAATAAAAATTTTTATTAACCATGTGTTCTCTAATGTATACATACAGTACGTATTAATAATTTGACAGTTAAAATCGAGATTAGCTATATATTTATTTACTACGTAAAATCCATTTATATACGTACAATACGTATCAGATATGTATACTATACGTATACTGTATATACGTATATATACTGGATTTATTAGCATTAACCTTAAATCCTAACTTAATCCTAATTTAACCCAAATGACTCCTAAAATATTTTCGTATTAAAATAGGTTCAATTCTTGGCATCAGCCAATCTTAGTTCAGCTACCAGATTTTATATAAAAATAAAATATCGATATTTCGATTATTTCTGTACGTATTGTGATAATTTTAGTTACAAAGTTGTATTACATAAATAGCTTTACATTTAATATCCACCCGGGCTTCTAGTCTGGGGCCCTACAAATTTCTATTTTAGTAGCCCAACTTGCATTTAACTTTAAATGTTCAAGATCGAGTGTAACTCAAAACAATCAAAAAATTGTCTATAGCTACCAATTTACACGTATGAAACAGTATTCTGCGCACCAACAAAACGTTTTCTTTACGTTAATAAATCCCTTTATAGCCTAATTAAATAGCAAATCCTAATCCTAATATAACAGTAAAATTTTTAAATTGGTGACGCTAAGGCTCTAGCCTGGTCCGATTCGCTTTTATATTTATAGCTATTTTTTATAAATTCTGGAACAATTAAATAATTTTTTTATAACTGAATCGACTTTGATCTCAAAAATTTTTTTTATATTTTATAAAAATTTTAAAATTAACAACCTAAATATAGATACAGTAAGGCAATTTCTATTTGAACACTATATAGAACACGAATACTTGTAATACTTAAAGCTTTGCTTATAAAATTATTTTTGGATTCCCTACAAAATGTTGGCATAAACTGTGATTTCTAATCTTAAACCTTAGACTAATCTAAATTAATTTGATATTTTTATTATTTAAAAAAAATTTTTTATTATCGTATAAAATCTACAATTATACTCCTGCTTCATCAGGAAATTTTGAAACCTGATTATAATCGATTACAAGCAGTTAATCGATTATAATTGATTGAATTTAACCGATCGTTATCGCCAGGGATGTTGATAATCGATTTAAATCAAAATCGATTATAATCAATATATATAACAAACGATTTAAATTATAGCGCTTTGCAAAAAAGATGTGACCCCATGATTTTTGTGATGATGAAAGAGGAAAATTTTTGAGATTCTAGACTGTCTATTAATTCATATTTTCGATCAGTTATATTTATATTTATTTGAAATCGATAAGATTCTTAAAATCTACAGAAT